GTTCGACGATCGTTTTTTGATGCTTCTTGGCCAGAGTAACGCATAAAGCCAGCTAGAGTTTTCAATGCCTCCCTCCCCTCTTATCTAAAATAAAAAATAATAAAATAAAATTAAATTAAATTAAATTAAATTAAACCAACAAAATCGTTTTTTTGACATGCATCAGTGCAACTTTTGTAATACCTGCAATACATTTGCCAATCATTTTCTGGTCCTATATCTAGATGAGATACTTGACAATTTTTCGCACCCGGAATTTCAAATGAACGACTTAAGAGGATAATACGAAGTTTCAAACTTACATGTTATCTTCATTTTCAAATGCACTTGGATTATAGAGGATAAATTGACATTGGGTAAGCTGTACTTGTTTTCTATCAGCTGCTATTTTTTTTGTATTTTCGTGAGAAAAATTTTCTTAGAAACCGATACTGCACCTTCGTCAAGAGTTGTGAACCAGCATTGGCCGTCACTTACGACGACTTTAGCAAATTTTTATTCTCCGACAGAGATGATGTTTTGAATAAGTTTCGCTCTATTGGCGAGATTTTAAACATATTTTGCACCTTTGGACTCTTTTTGCAGGATTCATTTTTTTTTTTTTTTTTTGTTATTACGTAAAATTTTTTTTTTATCGATGGTTAGCCTCGTAGTCCCAGAAACTACACAATTGAGCCAGGGATTCAATTCCCAGAGAAAGTATTGAAATTCGTTTGTATTCCGTTTTCTTTGGTACAAAAAGTAACTTGGACTTCTTTGATTGAGAAAAACAAGCTAAAGGAAAAGGAAAATAAGGTAAAAAGAGTTCGAAAGTGTAAAAAAATTAAGATAAGTGGTTGAGTTGAGTTCAAGTGCAAAAAGTGATACGCATAGCCTTGAAAGGAGAGATAAAATTATCATCGATGTCGATAAATACACTAGTAAAAAATATTACTCGCATTGTATTCATTCTCTGAATGTCAAAGAATAAATATGTAGTAACAGTTTATAAATTATTGCCTTAACGCTTCAAAGTTCAATGTGAAGTCCAATGCATGTGATAATCATGGGCACAAAGTTATGTTTGCGTAAAAATAAAATAAAATTTAAATTAAAAAAAAAAATACATATTTATCACAACAGTCATACCATATCTTTGTTGGCAATCGTATGCTTTACTTTTTTTTTTATTTTTGTCAAATGCCAACATTTGTTATCAATAGCACCTGGTGTACGTATCAATCGATTACTAAGTACTATCGATTTTTAAATCTGAATGATAAATCATATTTTTCATTCCATAAGTTTTAACAAAATGATGCGAAGAAAAATTAATTTGATAAAAGTAATCCTTACATCAGTAATACGATGTACCAAGAGGTAAATAAAAAAGTAAAAAATTTAGTTAAAAGCAAAAAAACTTTCACTTCATCGTAATAGATACAAGCTTGGATTCTTTGCGAAGAAAGTTACTTACGTTGTATTATGAACTTTGCATATTTTGTAATTGCAAGCATACAGTGGTTACGCGCACGTCTGAGATTTTCAACCTCGCGTCCTTGTTTTTCATTTGTTCACTTATCGCATATCAAATACGCGTTTCTTAATTTGCATGTAAATTTATCAAGAGATCAGAAAAAGTATGGGTAATAATGACGAGACCAAAAATACACGCTTATTAATTATCAAAGTCCTTCATCAAGCACAAGTGATCCTTTTTAAAGCAGCGTAAGAATAAGATTCAATTTTTTTTTTTCTTTTCCTACACAACAATTTGTAAGGCGGCACCTCCTCAAACAACTTTTTAACAGTCCCGAAGAGGCTGTTATGTATAACACGAAATATTCACCAACTAAATGGAAAAAAAAAAAAAAACCATACGCTCCGCGTGATTTCAAAACGGCGCGAGCCCATCAGAGTTATTCATGCACAAGAACGAAAACAACAAGACTTTCAACGCGCCGCCAACTTTCGTATAATACGTCGCCGTCGATCTGCATAAAAGCACAGAAAACGCTAAACCGTCACCACCTGAAACCAGAAAAAAAAAAAAAAAAAAAAAAAAAAAAAAAAAAAAAAAAGAAAGAAAGAAACCGGATGCTCCGCGAAACCTCATCGCTCGTTTGGAAAAGTATATGATAAATCGCGCAAATAACTTTCCCGTGTCCCGCGAAGTCGCGCTCCAAGCGTCACGTAACGCCGCGCTCTCCGTCGCGTCCATCTCGCTCTTTCCCTCCTCATCGAGTGTGTAAAATATATTATTATTCGACTGCTGCTCTCAACGCCACAAACACACGCGTTTTGCTAAAATAGCGCGTCAATAAAACAATAATCCAGCATAAAGCATACGTGTAGGGTATGTTACACGAATGCTCAGATTAGCCGAAAAAAAATTGGATAAACCGTGAGAAAAGCACCAAGAGAGGGAGATATTATAATAAGATGCAGCACACGAGTAGCGCGCGATTCGGAAAAAAATAAAAAAAGAAAAAAAAGCGTAATAGCTGCACGCAAGTGTATTTATATATCCCTGTTTTCCTCCATTACCATGATGTTTCTTCTTCTTCTTTATCTTCATCCTTCTCAGCGAGGACGCCCCCATTCGCTATCGCGTTGTGCAATAATGTATATCGCGCAGGCCCGCGGGGTCAAAGCTTCTTTTCTCTCTCTCTCTCTCTCTTTCTCGCCTCCCCAAAATTACTATTATTGACACGTCTCTGTGTGTTCACGTGCACATACATGTGTACAGGTGTACGTGCACACGCTTTCTCGAGCACTTTTGCTCTCAAAGTTACGCAATGCCGCGAACCTCGGCCGTATAACATGTAATATACCGCCGTATAGTCGTCGCGCTCGCAATTTATAATATTACAAATCGATATCGAGCGCCGCTCGTTCTTGGATTCCAAGTGCGAGTACCTCTACACACAGGTTCTTATACATACCACTTGCCCGTTGCGCAATCGTATATTATGTAGTGTTTTTTTTTTTTTTTTTTTTTTTTTTTTTTTTTTTTTTTTTTTTTTTTTCACTTTTTGGTTGCATATTTTTTCCCAAAGCATATGCGATTGTGTTTACGCGTGTTAACACGACTATATAGACGTACAACGTAATTACGTCGGAAACATTGTTTGCGCGCTTTCGCATTGTCGAGCACACCTATACGTCGACTTGTGTGGGTACAATAATGAAACGGTGGTCGATCCTTTCGGTCGCGGTTTTGCGTTCGAGGAAAAGGAAAGAAAGGCAAGGATGAAAATAAAAATCCCCACGGGTTTTCGCTGAAATCGGTAATTGAGCGTGGTACGTTAAATACGCACACAGGGGCCGAATTCATATTTCCGCGTGGTGATATCGATTGGAGGGTTTTTTTTTTTTTTTTTTCTTCCGATTTGCCACGTGAATCGTGTTACGCGGTGCATGAGCTTAGCGTAAGAAAAAAAAAAGGCAGAAATTTGTTGGCAAATTATTAATACAATTTTTACAAATATGTAAATGCCATGGCGATTTTTTCTTTTACAGAATGTAATACACATTATAGTTAGTGAAAATTACTTTTTTTTTTTTTTTCTATTCTAATTTCGTTTTATTCTATTAATATATTTATATAAATATTATGCACTATTCGGTTATATCACGTTAAATGCGATATAGGAAAAATAATGTTTTTCAATATACAAACAATGCAGCAAAAATATTTTAAAAAGGATATCCAAGCCAAAGTCTGACTAATTCAAAGGATCGTACTCGTGACAAGCGAATGATTCACCCGGGAATATTTTGAGCGAGGGACGTATGAATATTTATCATCTTAACAAAAGCACTCACCAACGGTGGACAAATCATAATTTATATGTGTGCTAAGAACTTAATTGATGATTTATCATCAGTAGCTACGAATTCGGTTTTTATGCTTTCGTGACAATTATAAAATTTAAACATTAGCGAGTGCAGCGTTGTGTACGTACATGAAATCTGTGCCGTTGATGATAAGCTGCACAGAAGTTGACGCAAAAAAAAAAAAAAAAAAAAATTGATTTATGCGTATGCGCTATATATACGGATAAACACTTAAAATGTTGTAAAACAAAACTCTTGCGTGTATAATATTATTTCAAGAGTAAACAACTTGGAATTTAACGCGCGAGAAATAAGTAATTTGTTTTTCAACACTTTTGGATTTTACAGTCCCATTTACGATTAGCAACAAATAGTTATTCAATTACATCGGGCAAGATAACATATTGGGGTTAACGTTTAAACTATATACGCCATTATCGAGTCGTTCGTTCACTGATTGCGTTAACGACGGCTCGTATTTACATTGACATTCGCGCATAAATAATAAATAACAACGAGACTCGACGAAGAATCTCGCGCGACGATTACTGCCCGATGGAAGAAGAAAAAACAAAAAAAATCGATCCATCGATCGATCGGCCGTCCGTGAATCACGTGTAGTTACGACTATGCGCGTGTTTGATAAACACAGTTCCCATTATCTTATCGATAAGCCGAACCGCGGCGATCGAATGGCTCTCCCTCTCTCGTCTTTCCAAACAAAATATACCCGACGAGTTGACTCTCGCTTCGGTTTTCAGAGTATATACTATACACATGAGAATTCTGGAAAAGGAAAAGAAAAGCCCCCCCTAAATCCATCCCTACCGGCAGCACACGACAAACAACGCCTTTTGCCGATTTTTCCGAATCCATCGCGCCGTAAAACGGGGGAAAAAAATAAAAAAAGCTCCTAATTGCCGTTCCCGGGACCGTAAAGGAAGGAAGGAACGCTAACACCTGACGAGGATATATTCTCTTTTGTAACGCGTTGTATACACCCGTGCACGGCCGACAAAACGCGTGACGTCAGCGCGGCGAGAGAGCGGCGGTCCGCGCAAAAACAGGCCGCGGGAGAGAGAGAGAGAGCGCGCGTTATCGGGGACCCGATATCCCTCGATCCGCCGCGCAGGACTAATCGGCCAAGGAGGCCCGTGGTCAGTCCGGACGACCGCTTCGACGCAAGCGGGCACACACGCAGTGTGTATATACGTGTGTCGCGTAGCCAAGCATCCAAGGCCCGCTCGGTCAGTCGGTCGGTCGGTCGGTTTCTCTGCACGCGCGCACTCTCGATGCTGCCCTGCATCGACGAACGAGGACGCGGGTAGAAAGTCCCCCCCTGGAGCCGTGCTCACTTTTGCCGCGGTTACAAAATAATACAAGAAAAATCCCCCTTTGTGCCACGGGGAAAAACTCGAGTTTTTTTTTGTTGGTGCAGGTGTGTAGTTCGTGTGTGTGTGTGGTCCCCTCCAGGCCCGTTGATCTTCGATGCGGCCCGGCGTGTCTTGCATATACCCACGGACACGGAGGTGTTGAATCGTCGGTAGCGCGCCCCACGGGCCGTTGTTCCGGGACACAATGACGATGGCTCTCTGAATAATGCGCGCTCGAAAAAGTATCGGCCTGGCGAGCTCGGTTGACGGTTGATTTCGCGTTTTTAACTGCCACCGCGATATATAATCGGTCGCGAGCGCGCGCGCGCGTGTGTGTGAATTTTTGCCGATAACCGAGCGCGGATCGATCGGTATATTACAATGCGCAAAGCGTGACCGAAGCTCATCCATTGTTCTTGTGCGTTTGTATCGGGGTTTTTGTTGTCGGTTGCGGTTCCACGAGAGGAAGCGCTCGTCGGTGTGATTTGTGGACAAAAATCGACAGTAGGATGGAGTGGCTGAGGGTGCTCAAGCTCTTGTTGTACAAAAATCTGTTGGTGCGCAAGAGACAATGGATAACGTCGCTGGTCGGGGAGTTTTTGGTGCCCGTGGGGGTGATAGTGGCCGTGTGGGCGGTGAGAAACCTCGTGGCCAAGGAATCGGTCCCGGTGGACCGCGACACCGTGCCCGACAGGATATTCGTCAACGACATATTCGACAAGGCCTCGGGCATCAAGAGGGCGGCCGTGTTTTTCGCCCCCAACAACTCGTTCACCAACGAAATCATGGAAGGAGTTCAGTACTGCCTGTCTGAAGGTGATGCCGATGTTTGTGAGTAAACCAGGAATTTTTTTAATCATATACATCGGAGGGGAAAAAAGAAGGCTCTGGAGCGCGAGCCGACTTTTTTTTTGTTTTCTTTGGTGCGTCTCTTATGTAAAAAGAAAGAACGAAAGGAAGAGAGGAAAAAAAAAAGTGCCTTACTTTCACGGAAACGGCTACTTTCGGAACTCGAGGAAACGCGCGGCAACTGGCGCGTGACGCAACATTTGTTATCGAATGTACGATTTTATGTACGCACGCGTTTGGTATTGAGATGGATATAAATTTTGCGCAAATAAATTTTTCAATCTCGAGCATTGGAAATTTCAACGTGATCAGACCGGTGATGGAAAAAAAGTAAAGATGAATGCACTATGCGAACGCAAGTGTTTAATTTTCGTCAATTTCATCTGTACACTTGTGTAATGGTCATAATTGTTTGTTTCAAGTACTTGATGATTAAAAACTTGAAATGTTTTTCAATACGCAAACGTTAAACATCTTGAAAAACTAATTCAATTCACTTGTAAAGGAACCAAGGGTGGGATGGGTCATGGATCTCAGAGTTACTTAGGTTATTCAAAAATGTTTTTTTACCAAGCAATTTCCAAAATTAGAAATTAAAAAAAAATCCATTTCAACATGAAAAATATTCTAGAAACAAATAGTGGACCCATATAACTCCAAGATCGAGTTCCCGTATCACCCCAACACTTTTTTTGGGATTATAATACGTACGTATATTGCAAAAGTCATTAATTTATCCGAAACTTATTAAAAATCATGGGATTTATTTTCCGCAATAGAAGAATGCAATATTATAAGACTCAGAACTGAATATCTAAGTGTTTGCTTTGAGAAAACATAACCTCGAAAATTTTCGTGTATATACCACCGCAAACTTCTCCTGAGAGAAATGGTACATTACGCACCTAGTGATGGCTTCGCCTCGGGCGTTTATTCATGTGAAATCTGCGACATTCTTAACCTCCAAATGTGGTGCGTATACGATTTTACGTCTCCTGGTGCTCGGTAAATAAAAAATTCCGCCTGCGTAGCGGGCGGTAATTTTCACTTACGGAGCACCAGTGACGTAAAATTACTCTGCAAGCACGATAAACATGCATTGTCTTTTTTACGTCTTTTTGCTGATCGGAAAAGTAATTTTTATTGTAAATTCAGATGTTTTTATTGTATAAATAGAAGAAATTTCCGTACAGAACAATAAGAATTAGTATACAAGAAGTAAAGAGTCCTCGAGATGGCAGAATGAGACTAGGTTAGAGTGCTAGCGCATCAGGAATCTCTCAGTATACTTAATAGACAAAAAAATCGTGAGTAAAATGTTACAAAAAAATTCACAAGTATTCCTCAGATGCTCTAGTTTCCCATTAACTTTTTCCGAAGATAAACAATGTATTCCCTAAAAAATCCTAACCTAGCAGACATTTTCAAAATCTTTAAGCAGCAGATACTTGTTAAAAATATTTGCAAAAAAAAAAAAATATTAAGAACCCATATGGAGACCAAACAAAAGGCGCCCGTAAGAATTATCATTAAAAACCGAGTCGTTCATTTATGATTTTGTTAATATCATTGCTTATAAGCAAACGATCTTTACTTTGAATTTTATATTTTTTATCTTTATCGTTTGATCCTTCCAAGGAATAATTCAATGAAATCACAAGTTAATTAATATTTAATTAGGAATCAAAGTGAATTCTCTAATTAACTCACTCTTCATTTTATTAAAAATTTATTTCTATTGCTTATTGATTGATATTTCAATTAACAAATAAATACTGTTATTTAATTTATATTTTGGATATTAATTAAAATAAAATCAACAGAACTATAAAACATATGTTATTCCACCTACCAATATTAATGAATGAAAGTTTTTTTTGTGGAAAAGCTCACATACGCGCGTGTGTACCTACGTGTATATAAAATAAAATTTAATCAGTGATTGAAATAAATTTCAATTGAAAATTTTTAACGGCCAAACTAAATGTTTCAAAAGTCCTCAAAATAACAACTAAACACTAAAAAAAAAGTAGTGATTCTCATTTTTGAGATACCTTTTAATAAGTTCATTTTTTATGGCAATCTCTACTACTTTCATGTATATAATAAACCTCTTATACCAAAATTTGGTGCTATTATTGTTTCCAATTTGGGTATAATCGACAGTTACGATTGAAATTTTTATCCAAAAAATTTACCACATGAGGTTCCACTTAATACCTGTTGAAATAAATTATTACATTTCGTAGATCCAATAGTATTTTCCTTATTTCTTCCATACGGCGATTTAGGATGGAGTTTAAATTATGATAAAAATTTAAGAAGTGAAAAAGATAAACACATTTACAACATTATTTATATAGACTTTCATATAGACCTTACTCCGAAAAGTTTAATCCTCTACTGTACGGTGGACGATTAACTCAACAATTTTTTTTTTATGCATACATTATGGTGAAGAGTAATAGAACAAATTTTTTTCAGAATGATCAAAAAACACTAAGAATAGAATGTTACGAAAGATTATTGGATCATATTATAAATAACGCTTCAAATATTTAAAAAAATTTCAAAAATGAAAAAGTCGGCAATCTTTTTATCATACCTTCAGAATATACAGGCAGTCCTAGATATATGCAGCGACATTACCAAGACTCTATGGCTATAATCAGTTACGTGTAACCCAAAATGGAAGAAATTGAAAGAAATTTTGAAAAAATTTTCAACAGGAACAACTCCCAACGACAATTTTATAAACGTGTATTTTTAATACTTATAACTAACGAATCCTGATGAATTTGCTTGTGTTCAATTATAACAACAAAAAAATAAAAAAAAAAACTTGTCTTTGGTCTATTAAATTGAACCAGAATAACAAATATTGTAAATCCGAGAGTGCCCTTTAATTTTCTAAGGTTTTAGTATGAATTAGAGTGGTTTTTGTAACATTTGAAAAACAACCATAATTAACAACTTCTTCCAAAAAAAAAAATAAATAAATAAAAACGCGTGAGTGTGCAAAATCTGTGATAGGGATGTTTTGCCATTTTATTAGAGCTGATGAAACAATTGATAAAACTATAATTCAGTTTCTTGTAAAACACGCACAAAAAAATCTTGGTTCTACTGCGCAACGTATAAATTCGGATGGTCGTTTAGTTTTTCTTCCCAAACCGATCCACATTGATGGCACAATGTTCCCCAATAACAGCCTTGCACGGGCACGCAACGGAGGACGACGTGGTGCGCGACTTCGAGTCCCTGTCGATACCCGAGTTCCCCGATGCCAAGCGAGGGGCCGTCATATTCAAAAACTTGGACCCATCGGGCGAAAACTGGCCGAAAAATCTTGATTACAAAATCCGAGTGAAAGACCTAAATCTCAAACTAAAGTTCAACATGCTGGCGAACATGCTCACGTATTACACGTACAGCATGTTCCTCCAGTTGCAGTACTGCGTCGACTCGTCGTTCATATACTTGGAAAACGGCCGGACGACGAACTCCAGTCTCGATTTTCCAGAAGTAAGTAAATATACCAAAATCTATATGTCGCCCCGCGAAGGGATGTATGCAACTAACGTCAACGAAACAATATATCCACAGTTTTCCATACGGCAAGTTCCTTACCCGCCCTACGTAAAGTACGACTCGGCGGACATCATGTTCCGGCGCTTTTTCGCCGCCATGGCCGTCGCCGTGTTCATGATCCCACTGCTCATAGAATCGGTGAGCTCGTCCAACGAAAAGTTCATCGGGGTCAACGTGAGTCTTTGCTCGTACATTCCGCGAGTGCGCCTATGCCCTAGTGTGTATCTAATTCCCATGGTTTTTACCCCCCCCCCTCCCCTAACTGTGCAGGTGCTCATGAAAATGAACGGCGTGTCCAACGCCTTGAACCTTCTGAGCTGGCTGATCAGCGGCTCGGTCTTTGTGATCGTGTTCTGCATAGTGCCGATCACCGTTCTTATCAACTTTACCACCGGCGGGGCGATACCCTACCTGAACTATGGAAACTCGTTCATCGTCGGTCTGGCTCTCTCCGTCAATATCGTCCACCTGTTTGCGTATGGAATGCACGTCTCGGCTTACTTTCCCACTTGTGAGTCAACGGCAGTTTGAACAACACTATATTTATATTGTATCTGTGAGTCAATCGTGATGATGATTGCATTGTTTTTGTTTTTTCCTTCTTTCAGCGTTGCTCATCATGTTTGGCATACTGTTTTGCAGTTGTGGTATTATGGTCGTACAGATGTTCGGTCTCAAGGAGGAGCAGTACTTCATAGTACCGTATTTGGGGATACTGTTTCCCAATCTGTTGATGTATCGGACCGTCGAGGAGCTCAACTATTTCGAGAATATTAGTGAGTTTTCACGTACATATTTTTTTTTTTTCCTGCCCAGTGGGTTATATCGATCCGATTGGTTATCAGGGGAAGGCAACCAGTGGCAAAACTTGTTCTCGGTCGGACTCACCGAGTACGGTTTCGGAGGTAGTATGGGTATGACCCTGGTATTGTCCATGATAGGCGTCCTCTTTCATTTCACATTGGCCGTTTACGTCAACGAAATCAATCCTGGTAAATACGGCGTGGGAAAGCACCCGTTGTTCTTCCTCAAGGTAATCAAGTCCCTTATTTCCTTTTTTTTCCTCTGCGGCTTTCGAAACTTTTCATATTTTTCAAAGGCGTTTCGAGAGAGTCCAAAGTACTTTAACGATGACGTTGAAATCTTGGAGTACAACGAAAATGGAAAGCCATTCGAATTGCCATCGAGTTGTCCTTATTCTCCTGGAATTCAAATTCGCAATTTGAAAAAGTCCTACAACATTGGTTTATTCAGCGGCGAGGTACTTGCATGACGTTCAAACCCTTGTTTTACTTATTTGCCGGTCGTTGGGGTAAACTGTTTTAATGAATTTGAATTTTAGAAAGTTGACGCGCTCAAAGGTGTCTCCATAGATTTTTACAAGGGAACCATTACCTCGCTGTTGGGCCACAACGGAGCTGGTAAAACTACCATGATGTCTATTCTAACAGGTACGTGATACTCGGTAATAATACACCACATGGTATTTGAAATTGGGAGATGAAAGTGTTGTTTTCTCGTACGTAGGAATGACAAGTCCGTCGGAAGGTCTAGTGCTGGTAAACTATAAGAACTTTAGGGATCATTCTCAAGAGATAATGAACGACATAGGTTTATGCACCCAAGTTAACATGGTTTTTCCAAATCTGACCGTTCGCGAACAATTACGATTTTTCGCCATGGTATGAACAATTTGCACCGTTTGAATTGTAATTTGTCCACAGTGTGCTTTTTAACAAGTAATAATCATGTTTGCAGTTGAAAGGTAAGGAAGAATCAATATCAAGCATCGAGCAAAGAGTCACGGAATTGCTCAAAAAACTAAAAATGTACGAGAAACGAAATTTTTTACCCAAAGACTTGTCGGGCGGACAGAAGCGTAGGGTGTGTTTGGGTATGGCTTTAATAGGTGATCCAAGCGTGAGTATTTTTTTTTTTTTTTTTCTTCTCAATTAGGTATTTCGATTGTCTTAGGAAAATAGTAATCCAAGACTGATTTTTTTTCATTGACCCCAAGATTCTAATTTTGGACGAGCCCACTTCTGGTTTGGATCCAGAAAGTAGGCGAATCATTTGGGATATCTTACTGGTAAGCATCGATATGATAATAATAACATACGTTCACGTTAAAGTCATTCAACGGGTTTAAACTCAACAGAAAATGAGAGGTCAAAAGACTATTATCATAAGTACACATGACATGGAGGAGGCCGACATCCTTGGCGACAGGATAGCAATCATGCATACGGGACAACTGAGGAGTTATGGCACAGCAATGTTTCTTAAAAAACTAATAGGTTCGTCATTTCACGATTAAATCGTCAAGCGATACGATAACTTTTATCACACGGTTGATAATATTGCCCGACTTTAAGGACAAGGCAACGTAGAAGTCACTCTATCCGTCGAGCCGTGGAGCAATAACAAGAGAATTCTCGACGAACTGAACAGCCAAGGCAACATAATAAGCGCGGACGCAAGCAAAATTGTCATCAGTCTTCCAAATTCGCCTGATTTGCCCGACGCATTGGACAAGTTGGAGGGAATGAAAAAGGAACTGGGCGTTTCAGGTTTGAGTGTTTCTCTACTCAGCTTGGAACAAGTATTTTTGAAGTAGGCATAAAATATGGTTTATTGTTTGCAACGACGTGGAGATGAATCAAATTAATTTGTTGTTTGATAATCAAAACAGGGTCACTCACGACAACGACGAGCCGAAGATACGAGAGTCGTTCAGTCGCGTCGAGAATAAACTAACCGGTAGATCGCTTTTAAATCAAAATCTTCGTGGGTTGTTGTACAAGAAACTTGTTTACACCAGAAAAAATATTTCGGCACTTTTCATGATGTTCTTCTCGGTAATTCAAAGTTTCAACTTCATCAATGATTTGAACAACATATAAATGGTTTTTAGCTTGTGATACAATAAAATGTTTGTTTCCAGGCCTGCGTAACGCTGTTCTTCCTGTCGCTTGTCTTCCAGAAAGCAAACTTCAAGTATCTAAAACCAGATGTGGTGTCGATGAGACTCGATCAGTACGAAAAACCTGACACTTACTACAACAGCACCGTCCAAGAAATCGGTCAACTCTTTGAGGTCACCACTCGAAATTCTGGTGGAAAAGCAAAGAAAATTCAATCCGACATGGTCGATGGTGATGCATAATTTACAAACTCGTCACGTATAGGAACGTAAAGTACATATTTTTGTTGTTGTCAATTAAACGTTGATTTCCTTCTTTCAACAGCTCTGTTGGACTACGCTCGTAGCAACGGCACAGCGTATTACGACAACCATCTAATCGCAGGAGCCGAATTCCAGCTGACCGCCAACGAGTCGTACATCAGCGCGTACTACTCCGAAAAAACGAGCTACAGCCTTCCAATATCGATGAACTTGGTGTCGAACAGCTACGCCAAATACGTCCTGGGCTCCGACTACTCGATCACACTGTCGGCTCAAGAGATGCCGACCTTGAACGTAACCGACGAATCGATCCCCAACGGCTACTCCACCGGCGTCTTCTTCATATTCTTCCTGTTGTCCGCCTTCGCTCAATTCGTTTTCCACCCGTTGCGGGAGACCACGAAAAACGTCAAACAATTGCAACGCATGACCGGAGTCTCTTGCCTAACGTACTGGGGGGTCATGTTTGCCTTCGATCTGGCAGTCTTTTTGTTGCTCATAACATTGATCGTTGGAGGTTTCGCCACAATCGATTACATTTACGATCTCAAGCTCTTCGACACCGATGGCATCCGTAAGTACAGCGGCTTGACAGGAAAAACACGTGCAAAAATATACTCAGTGCTCAATCATATTTCCAGTGATAGTGCTGCTTCTACTGGTACTCTTTGCCATCAACGTGTTGCCACTTATCTACAGCTTCAGCTTCATCGACGCGAGCACAACATCGGTCCTGCGATTACTAACCTACGTACCGATGGGTCTAAGTAGGCAAAAATCTCGTACTTTTCGACTCGCGTGTTTTTGTCTCCCCGTTAAGCATTGAACTTTTGTACCGTTACAGTCTTGGTGGAGCTCATCGGATTAATATTCTCCGCGACCCTGGACGACAACGACATCGTCATTTTCCTGCGACCCATCCAGAGAACGATATTCCTCCTGTTTCCCTACGTGAGTTTGTTGCACGGCCAAATGTCCTTCTTCGCGACCGCAATGTCCAACGCCAGATGCAGGAACATGCCAAACATATTCTACGACACGAAGTGCACTTTGTCGTATTACAAAAACGACACGTGTTGCGGTGAGATTGATCTGCCGATAATTTTTTGTATCCAACTCTCAATCCAACCCGCTGTTTCTTATCTTTTCGCGAGCGCAGGCCTCGAGTGTTACGACGGAAGGTGCAAGGAGTACAAAAATTACTTCAGCGATTTCGAGAAGGACGTGAACCTGGAGAGCAGCATCGTGTACCTGACGTGCTCGCCTCTCATATACTTTGGACTGCTCGTGATACTGGAGTACCAGATGGTGCCGAAGCTTATCGTCAGGATGAGGAAGGCGGTCATGCCCGAAACCGAGGCGGAGGAGCAAGTCAAGAAGGAAAAGTTGTCCATCAGCGAGAGGATCGCCGCCATGGGAGAGCGTAAGGATGCGCAATCCAAAATCCGTTGACGAACACTCAAGGTGACCTCGCTCGATTGTTTTCAGATCGCATGAGCGGCATCGTGAACGACGCTTACGACTTCAAGCCCGAAAACGGGACGGTTACGTCCCTACCGAACTCGGCTTACTTCAAAAACCACGACGACCGAGTGTTCCTCGTGTACGAGCTGCGCAAGCAGTACGGCGCCACCTTGGCCGTGAAGGACGTGAGTTTCGGGGTGAAGGAGCGCGAGTGTTTCGGTCTGCTCGGCGTGAACGGGGCCGGAAAGAGCACAACCTTCAGGATCATGACTGGCCAAGACGTGGCCGACAACGGGGTAATGTACATAAACGACAAGGAGTTCAACCGTCACAGGAAATACGTGAGTGTTCGTCGGCCCTCGGGTTGCCATGTCATTTCGACACCCAAGTGTCAATCTCGCATCTTACACTTGATGTTTCAGTTTCTCTCGCAAATGGGCTACTGTCCGCAAAATAATGCCTTGATCAAGTCCTTGAACGCCTACGATCACCTGCGATTGTTTGCTCGCCTCAGGGGAATACCCGAGCACCAAGTCGAGACGGAAGTTAGAAAGTGGATCAACAGGCTCAGTGAGTGTGTGTTGCGCGCAATGCCGGGTCTCGAATAGCGCGCGATGTAGAATTTTTTTTTTTTTTTTTTTTCCTTCCAGATCTGAACGCTTGCGCGTCTCAGCCTAGCGGGACCTACAGTGGGGGCAACATGAGGCGACTGAACATCGCGATCGCCCTTATCGGTCTTCCGAATCTGATCTTGCTGGACGAGCCGACCGCCGGCGTCGACCCCGAGGCGAGGAGATCGTTGTGGAACGTCATTCAGTCGTGCCAGAAGTCAGGACAAGCCGTCATACTCACGTCCCACAGGTGAACATTCATTTTTTCTTTTTTTTTTCTACTCCCTCACCGCCACGTGTCTATACCACTCAAATGAGAGCGAGAAGTGTATGGTATGGGTGAATAAAAAAATGTGTGTTGCAGTATGGAGGAGTGCGAGGCGCTGTGCAACAGATTGGCAATTATGGTGAATGGAAGGCTGGTGTGTATCGGGCCGTCCCAGGAGTTGAAGCAGCGTTTCGGGGCCGGGTACGACATACAAATAAAAATGAACCCGGAGAAGGAGGGGAATCAGGTGGACGATATCAAATGCCGCATGGCGCGCTCGCTCGACTGCAAAATCGTCGACGAAAACACGGTGAGCGTAACTTTTAAACACAAAATTCTCTTGTAGCATTATTTTATTTTTTTATGGTTGATTTCCTCGAGGTAAAGCCAAAAACTATCGTCCAAGTGACAAAGTTTGAATCCCCCCTCCCGACAAAAAATAAAATAGCGAGAAAACGTTTCTTAATTTTCCATGTCGTTCCACAAGGGACTCCATGTGTATTATGTATACATGCCAACGCGAAGAGATCAATTACGAGTATTACACCGGCACAATGTGCACTTTCCCTCGACCACGAGACGGGGCCCATAATTCACGAAAGTTCCGATTATACGTTGCCCTCCTTAAGACACTTGTCCGCCAACTATGTCGTATACGTTGTATACATATATATGTCATACGCCCGTAAATTCGCTTTATACCAATACGTGTACAGGTAATACGATGATTTTGATGGTTATTCTGTTTTCATTGTTATACACAGGGTTACCTCATGTACCACGTCTCGCCGAACGAAACCAGCTGGCGCAAGATGTACGACGTGATGAGCGAGCTAAAGAGCGAGTACGACTGCATCGACGATTTCTCCGTCCTGTCATCCACGCTCGAGCAGCTCTTCCTGCTGTTCGCTCGCACGGCTACTAAGGACGAGTCCATGCGAGCGATCGATTAAAGTTGGAATGACTGTTGTTTTTTTTTTTTTTTTTTTTTTTTTAGGGTACAAGTTTCTTCTGAAAGCGACTTTTGCGCGTATGTATCAACAATTTTGTTAACACTACCTTACGGGATGACGAACTTAATGAATAGTCGTGTGCCGATTGCTTTTTATAAAAGCGCAAGAAAAAAACAAAAATTATTATTTATCTTGTTTGTATACGATGAATGATTTTTTAGTTTTTTTTTTTTTTTACTGTTATGTACGTTTTTAATTTTACAAGACTTTTTTTTTTTTTTTTTACTTTTACGGAATACGAGTGTTTGACAGTCGTGGTTGGCATTGTTCAGACGTATACGTGTACCAACATCAACATTGCCTTTATAAAACTCGTTACTTTTGTTATTGTTTATAAAATATTTTAGTCAATAATTTAAGTATTTTTTACGTGCACTATTTAAATTTAAATTAGTAAGAATATTTTACTTGAAATTAGTTAAAGTTCCACCATTTTAAAAGACAAAACTTTTTAAATATTTTATGTAGTCTAATATGGTACTCATTTAACGTGATTTGGTATTGCCAAAGTATATTCAGTATCATGGAAAAGCATCACACAATCATGTATTTCTATGACACTTCATGAAATAGCCAATAAATCATAAAACACACGGACGACCTATGTACACATAGGTATGGGGTATAATTTTCAACTAAAATTAAATTTCCATTTTTTTTTTTTTTTTTATGTATACAGAAAAACTATTACCTCAACAAGTGACATGTTTTTATTATTTCCCCCGTTAGCCGTACACTCAGAACTTTGAAACGGTTGTTTTTCATGATAACAAATTAAAAAGAGCATTGACGCGCGAACCGTCAATTGCAATCGTATCAAAAATACCTTTCTATTTTGCGACTGTGTGTACGGAGCAGCGATCGACTCTTGCATACAGCGCGTACAAGTGAAAACGTCACCTATATATTGTGTTAACCATATCGACGTCGGCGACGCGCATCGGACGACGAAGACGACGAGCGATCGGCCTTTTTGTCGTGTAATTAGTGTGTGGTACTTTGTGCCGTTGCGCAAAATAATCACCCGGCGAGCGCACACACACACGTACAGCGGAGAGATAGGCCCAACGACGACAAAGTCTTCGAAGCGAAAATGTAACATGACAGTGAACAATGCACGTATTATGCAACTTTCGAGCCATCAGCTGTACAGTACTCGTACAAAACATGTTGTGCACATCGTATACTTATTACGGCTTTGTGGGAGGGCGCGAGTTTGCGAAATAAAATATTACGAGCACGACTTGCCCTTTGCGCCTTAATTTATAAAGCACTCGCGCTTCTCTTTCGTTTCTTCTTTGTTTTCTCGGTCCGCGGGGGAGTGTTTTGTACATTATATATATATACACATACAAAAGCGACTATCGTGCAGCGTTCGCTCGGAATGAGATTTAATATGAAATGGAACCGATTCGCTCGTTGGCGATACGATTCTTATCGACGTAGACTTTTTTTTTGTAAATACCTATATATACGTTTATGAAGTGAGTGATGCTCGAAGCCGTTAATACGAACGTGTGAATGTGGTTGTAGAATATTAATGAGAGTTTTACGTATTTTTATATGTACGGTCGATGCGACTTGCATCAAGTTCTGTAGTAGATAAAATTTTTTTCCGCAAAATTTTTTGCATTACTTGTGTTGGAAAAATTTATGTTAAGGATGATTTGTGGAAAAAAAAAAATTAAATTTAGAAAATACATGTGTGTGTGTGTGTGTGTGTATGAGTCATTTCGAAAATACATTATAATAAATAAATGATTTTTCCATGTGTATAGATAAACAAAGTTTTTTTTATTGATTAATTGATAATTAAATTTGTGTGTTTGACGTAGTTGTGTGCATATCATTATTGTATATCTTGAATAATCTTCAGTTACTTAGCTTTATCATGATACAATAAATTTTTATTTCGAGCGCCAAGGTAAATATATTTTTTAAGGCTCCATTAGAAAGTTAAAAGTATCAAATATTGGCACCTCGTTTATAGTTGAAATAAAAATCTTCATGGAAAAAATATGATTCGACTTGGACAAAGTACTCCATAATCACCAATGTTGAAACCTACACTTTTAATTAAACTATTATTTTTTTCGAAATTTATCTCATCTCGGCAATCTTATCTGAAAATTTTCACAATTTCACATTTCAACATTCCATCAAAATTGTAGGACATACGCAACTCAGATTGACGCTGGAATCTTGTTAGATAATTTCAAAGTATTTGATAAAGTAATTACATACCCAAGTTATTGTAATGTGCGTGATTCATCGCAAGCGTCCTTCGAATTGTCCTGTAAAATACTTTTTTTTTTTCCCCTGCAAGAGGAAAAGTGTTTGGAAATCACTTTTAAAGCAAACCTTCAAGGACAAACGAGCATGCGAGAGCGATAAATACGTGTATTCCTAACGAGCATTTTTTTTCTTGCATTTGGAAAGAAAAAAAAAAAAAAAAAAAAAAAAAAAAAGGAAAGGAAAGGAATAAAAATAGTCCTGTGCGTGCTGCGGCATGAGTTGCGTAAAATATACAAATGCTCATGCGTGTAGAAGTAGTGCTGAATAAGTATGTGTACTTTTTTTTTCGAGTTCGTCGCACTGGAGACTGAGATGTGACGCAACGGACGGGAGATTTTCGAATTACGAGAGAGGAGCTTCCACTCGGGAGAAAGTAATACGACTTTCGGTGGATATTCGAGCTACTTTGCATTGCTAATCATCGAAAGTGAGGAGTTGCAATAATATTATTACGCGCTACTCTCTTTTATTACCTAAGCTCGTTGAAATCTATTTTCGTTTTGTACACCTAATGAAAAAAAAAAAAAAATATCAAATCAACGAAACACCAAGTGCATGTAGAAGTTCCATTCGAAGAATAATCGTTTATGCGCAACGCTCGAGTGATAAGTCCGGATAAAATTTAATTACCACGCAAGTCGATTGCTTTTCCATTAAACCGAGATTTTCGTGCTTTTATTGTGTTCGCCCTTGCGTAATTGTCTCGGAATTTTTATTTTGAATCGTTAACTTGGGAGAGAAAAAAACACCCCCTCGGGGCTCTCGGTCGTAAAAACGAAAGCTAAAACAAAACAAAAAACAATAGTCCTCCGCCGCTGACATCGTTATTAAATTTAAATTTTCTATTTCTCTCCGACTCGTTAACATAAAATTTGCATGGGTATGACGCTCGTCTAATTTACGACGACGCGTGTTTTTTTTTCTCTCTCTCTCTTTCTCTCCGACAGGACTCGTCATCAGCACTGTATAATATTATGTACTTTCTATGTGGATCGATCGGCCGTATAGACACGTAATGTTTTTCACCAACCAACTGACGTCAGGTGAAGAGAGGGACGCTCCCAAAAAAGGAGCGTGTATAGTATCCTTGTACGTGCAGCGGCTCGGTGCAGAGAAGGGAAACAAAGGTGAGAAAGTATTTGGCGCGCGCCAGCCGATAATGAGATTATTACGACTATTGAGTAACGTTGGGTACGAGTGAAGGCTCTTTCGATATTGTATTTATTTATTTTTTTTTTTTTTCGTGCCTCGCTCCATTGGGGCATCAAAGATGCGGCGATCAATTAGTCATAGAAACAATCTGCTCTGGAATCTCGCGTTGGAGAGGCAGGTGCGAAGGTTCGTCCGATCCTTTGTTGTGACACTCGGAATGCCAAGTGTGCATCGGGCGCGTTAATTGTTTTGCTGGGACGGATGGGTATCGCGTGGCAGTGTTGTTGATTGATGCGCGTTTGAGAGAGGAATTTTTAATGCTTCGCGTGACGTGTGTATTGGCGATGAGGTACTGTTCATACGCGTTAGCTTGTACTCACGTTGAAAGTAAAAAATTTTAAAGCTATCTAAACTGTCGTCTGGGAAATTTTCGCTACCCACGGATTAATTTTTTGATCGTTTGGAATGAAATTTTTTTATTGACAGTATACGGTGTTTTTTCAATATTTTGGCAGTATAAAAATTAATTGGCAGTGTGGTAAAAATTAGATTGAGAAAAGCAAAAAGCCCCGAGATAGAAAAATTACATCAGATCACGGAGCTAGCATTGTGATTTTCGTATTTTTAAATTTATTGCGATTCGTCAAAATTAATTACTATAAATTAACAATCCAAGTAATATGTTGTTCGTCTCAGTGTGTATATTAATATAATATAGGCACGTGACTGTTTTCTGGCGTGTAACAAACCAGTTATCAATTAAGAACACGTTATTGATGACACAAAACAATTTTTTGTTTAATACGAAATTAATTAACTTGTATTTCTTAAAATAAGCTTGATAACGATGGATCTTGGACACGTTCTTGGAAAATTATTTAGTACACGTTTTTAATGAATTTTTTCATATCTGTTTTTGATAACGATATTAACCTTTTTTTTTCTTTTTTAATTTTTTCAAAGAAAAACAAACTTATGAATTAAATTGTAGCCATTAAAAGTATGATAGATTATTTTTAAATATTGATGGGTCATGCGATAAAGAAATTTAATTGACTTAGATTAACCACATGATTTCTTTAGCCGGTAAATTTAAAATTATATTCATGATCGACAGTTGAAAAATACGACTCAGTATAGTATTCTATAAATAATAGATTTAAAAAGTTTTTTTTTTTTTTTATCACATGACCAATCCACACATATAAATCTAAACTAAAAAAATTTTCGGGGAGAAGGGGTTTGTGATATCATAGTGCAAAAAAATTCACTTAATCCGTTGCACAACACTTTTTTTTTTTTTTTTTTTTTTCTTTCCGAGAACGAAGTGTTTTAATCTTTTTCCAATCTCCTAATGTAGATTATATTAAGATAAAATTCGATATAGGCAATGGAAGTATTTCACGAAGCATCGTGATTTTTGAACACGTTTTTCACTATCACCATCATTTACAAGTTACAACTTCCAATGATAAACATTGTTAGAGATCTGACCCTCACCTTTAATACTTAAGAAGTAAGTTCGAAATATTAAAAATAAAGTTAATAAGTTTGTGTAAAAAACAAAATAATTTTTCAAAATTAAAAATCATTAAAAAGCGATCAAATATTTTGCAGCAAATATTATATCAAGTAAAAATTGTGTTGTTTACTTTTTTTTGTATTAGGTATAAAACTGGTTTAAAAAACCTCTAATGATTAATTGAGTTAACGAAATACTTTAAAATCATTCTAATTGTATGCATGTTGCGTAAGTTGAGAAATCTCTTTTCATTGATAAGGATAATAAATTATTTTGTAGTATTATTTTAATTGTATTTAAAACTAAAAATTGTACTG